TAAAAAACTTGTGGCAGTCTTATACAATTATTACTCAGCTATAAAAAAAGATAAATTTGAGGTTTTTTATACATAAATGGATGCAACTAGAGACCATACTCAGAAGTGAAATAAATCAGTCTCATATGTATAAATATTGTGTTATTGTTCTAGTGTAAGACACTGAAAGAGTAAATAAAATATGGAAGGCACAACAGATACTGTGAAAGGAGAAGAAACTTTTCAAAGAGAAGAAATAACTGGGATGAGGGAATGTACAGAAAGAAAGAAAGAAGAAAGAAAGAAAAAAGAAAGAAAGAAAGGAAAGAAAGAAAGAAAGAAAGAAAGAAAGAAAGAAAGAAAGAAAAAGAAAGAAAGAAAGAATATATATGTATATACACAGTATAGAATAGATAATTGAACAACTGATTTCTGCTGGTCTATTGAAAGGAACAATTAAGTCTTCAATTTCTTTTTCTCTTGCTCTCCTTTTTAGTTTTTTTTTTTTTTTGTCACTTTTTGACCAATTTTGCATGTATATATCTGGTAATCTGAACAACTAATTTGAAGCCAACAATATGCAATATAACAACCATTGCTGAATTCCTATTATTTTGCTTAGTGAAATTCTATATCATATAAATATATACATATATATATATATATATATATGTTTTGCTCTTATTTTGTAAGCTATCTTTGTTTTGCTTCCTTAGCCAGTATTTTTGGCAATAAGAGGGCTAACTAAATCATGTTAGCATCATAGCATCTACATGCATTTTCACGAGGGGCACATTTTACTAAACTTTCAACATATTTGATGGTCAAGGGCTACTGGACACACATATTCCTTTTTTCCCCTGCTATTTATCCCATTGATATATGAAATAGCATTTATGGTGTATGCTCCATGACTCTCCTGCTCAGAGCCTCCAGGGGGTAAATCAGTAGTCAGAGTGCAGCACAGGAAGGCAGGACAGAGCAAGAGGAAGGAGCTTCCCTTCCCTTAGGGAGCTTCCACGTGGGAGCAGGACCAAGCTGGGATAGCAGAAAATATGGATAGAAGTCTGCATTTCTATCTCAGATAAGAAAACAAATTATATACATATTTTACTGAAATTCTACTTGCAATTTATCATTTTGTGTAACATAAAAATAATGGCAACCAACTCCAGTAGCATTAAGACCTGTGACTATGTCACTAACATAACTCACAGGTATTTATCACTCATATTACAATGTTGTAGATTCTTCAAAATACTATATTCCCTCCTCACTGTGTCAAAATCATGGTGGCGATGAGACCTGTCACCAGACTGTGTGATTTGGTGAACCAATAAGCAGCACAAAGCTATTCTCACAAAATTTCAAAACTATTTTGGGAAGAGTCTTTGCATACCACTAATTCCTTTACAATTCTATATATTTTATTTTATTCTGTTAAAACATTCTGAGGTGTTCCTGGGCTTCAAAGAGGTCTGTAGCATAGAAAACTTTAGGGCCTGATCTAGAAGGATCAGAAAAGTCAGAGCCTGCTAAAGGGAAAGTTTGTACCTTCATGGAAGCTTTAAAGGTAGCCTGTCTACAGCCATACCACCATGAACATGCCCAATCTTCTCTGATCTTAGAAGCTAAGCAGGGTCGGGCCTGGTGAGTACTTGGATGGGAGATCATAAAGGTCATCAATAACACAGCAGGTATGACAGTGAGCTGATGGTGGCGAGCCAGCCAGATAAAGTGAGGTAATGTAGATGGGGCTGCTTATAAGGAGGAGGAAGTCTAGCTCAGACATGGACATGCCAGGCAGAAGTGGTCTCCGAACTGAAGTGTTCAGGGATATGCAGGATTTGGCAGGCAAATGCAGAGGACAGTGGTATCCCAGCAGAAAGCAAATCCCACATAAAGGCTGGGAGGAAAGACAGCATGGCATGTCCGACAATAGCTTCCTGAGCTTGTATGAAGACTCAGGTGGAGAAAAGAGAAAAGGAACAGAATGAGATCTTCTGCATGGGCTTATATATCTGTTGCTGACCCTATCATTATGTAATCCTGTGTACGGTCCATGGCCCACATGTATCCCTATTGTTCGGAAAGACTCTAGCTCAATAAATAAACTGTTTTAATAAGTGATTTCAATCAGCAGACAGCCATGAGCCACGTCATAGAGGGCCTTAGAGAAATGGCTAAGGCTCTGGATTTTTATCTAAAGTGTAAAATACTTGTTTCTGAAATGACTGAGCAAGAGGTGCTTTGTGACAATATCAAAAACATCAATATTACTCCTAAAACAATACTTTGTGCCGTGTAAGGCTCTCATGGAAAAGATCTTTGTCCTGCTTTTAAATTCTACCCAGCATACTGCTGGGGAAAGGAAACTTGGACTTCTGAAAGATACTCAGAAAGCCAACATCAAAGAATTGTGACAAACTCTATGAATACTTAAGTCAGAAACCATGAAATGTGAACTGCTGGGTGAGTCAAAATGAAATCAGCCTACATCTAAACTCCTACTCTATATAAAATTAAGACCTGTAAATTCACAATTAAATCTGACAGAAAGATGCCAAAGCAATTCCATAGAAATGAAGAAAAATTAATATTATTAGAAAAGTTTATACATTGTATTTTCAAATTAAATTATTTTTGTCTTTTTTCCATTTGAAGATGTGGAAACATTTTAATTTCTAGATCTGGAAACTTTCATTTCAAAGCTTATAAAAATAATGTCTTCTTGGGGGTTCATGCCCATCTCTGTGGTGCATTTATTTATACATTTGGCAGGTCAGAGTCACGTGACACCCCTTGACCTAGCAACTCATTTCTTGGATTGTCTCAGGCCTTGGTGTATTTTGGCTAAAGCAGCTTACTTATATGCTTGCCTCTGAAGCTCTCTGTCCTCAGACAGGCCTTGTTTCACTCCCACACTGGTGACTAATTTCCAGCATCAACCATTACTTGTAGGCTACCTTCCCCAAGGTGGGTGTAGAACTTACACTGCCATTCCCAGCACGAGACAGTGAACCAGTCACAAACTCTGGATTCAGCTCTGAAAATTCTGTCCCTCCATGGCCAGATTCCGGGGACATCCAGACACAGACCACAACACTTGTTCACAGTGATACAGAGAGAAAAACTGATATCGGGTGGGTGACCTCCAAACCCTATAGGGAACCTCCAAATGACATAGGGAAAAAATGATTTCCTGACCTGATCTGGACGAGTTCATGTTCTCTAAAACTGAACAATGAATTTTAGGAACAAATGGAGGTTATGAGCAGAATATATTTATTGAGGGAAAGAAAGCTTCTGTCCGAGAGAGGGACAGGAGGGGGGCCGAGCAGGTAATTCCACGGGAAGCTGTCTCTTCCAGGGATTTTTATAGTGTAAAACTATGTGGGGCTAAGGTGGAGAAAGGGGAACTCACTTAGGTGGATGTGGGGTGGGACAAAACACCATTGCTCAGGTAAAATTGATTAAGTCCAGGACCAAATGGGGAAGGGAGTCATGTAGCAAGGGAGCATGAAAGTAAAAAGGACCTTATCTGGTAGCCATCAGATAAGGATCCTTTTTGGCTTTCTCAGGATAATGATCAATCAATCCAGGATGCTAATCTATAGGGAGGTCAGCATTTGTTTGCTCTTTGGTCTGGCTCACAGCAGGAGCATCTGTCCCGCCCACAGTTGTAAGGCATCTCCTCTTCTTTGCTGTCTCCTTCAAAGGCCTGACCCTGTCTGAATGCCTATAATATTTCTAACTCAGGCTGCCTGCAACAATAGTTACCCTACTAGTAGGTCCTCGGGCAAGCAGGCTAGCTGAAGAGTTCACCCTTTTGCTGCTAAAATATGCTACCTCTCATTTACACTGCCAATCATGATTGTGTATTTGTGTGTGCATTTGTGTGTGTGTCTGTGTGTGTGCAGAAACACTGGACTGTGCCTCACTTACCCGGCAAATTCTTTGCTCATCTTTTATCATGTGGATCCTGGATGACCACCAATTTGTCCCCAGACTGGTGCACTATTAAGGAGAGAGAGATCGCCTTTGGGAAGCTCTGGGTCCTGTGATCTGTGCCCTTAGAGTGGTTACTGGGGTCACAGCTTCTCTTTCTCTTTTTACTTTCCAGTGACAAGAGGGAGCAGCTCTCTCCACTGTGCAGTCCCACTGTGAGGTTGTGTTTCACTTAAAGCTTCAAACAGAAGGGTCTAGACAGCATACACTAAAACCTCTGAAAAACTAGGAATCCAATTAAACCTTTCTTTTCTAAATTGATTATTTATGGTGTTCTGTTACAGTAACAGCAAGTTGAATAACAAATCATCTATTCAATAGTCAGTAATATTGTGCACACAGAGGGTAGTAACAGCAGAAAAAAAGGCTACAGGCAGGAGAAAATGTCTGATTTAACAAGTACATGGGCAATGAGGACATTAAGATAGGACATCTGGCAGCCTCTTCTAGTTGGGGTTCAGAAAACTTCGTGGAGTAGTTAGGTGAGCAGTGGGGAGGAGCAAGTGTCAGAGCTAGGGACTGAGCCCTCAAAAGTCAGAAGGACACCAAGAGACATCCTGAAATGCTCCTGCAGAGCCCCACCACTCCTGGCTGTCATGCCCCATGCTGGTCTACATGCTACTCTTCTGGCCAAGAAGATGTCACAGGCCACTGAACTGAGTGCCACACATTCATTCTTCTCTTCCATCAGCCAGTTTAACGGGGCCAGAGCAGATAGGTGTTGAAAAGGAACAGCCTCACATAGATAGGTCCTAGGACTAAAATACCAACAGGAATATTTACAATAAAGCTGGAAGAAGGCACAAAAAGCCAAAAGAATATTTTATTGAATTTACAAGGTACAAAATATTTATAGTTCCTTAGACAATTGCATTGCTATAACAATTACATTGTGTGATATAATTACTAATGGTTTGAAGAGAAATAAGCAGTATAAATAAAAGATGGCTCAAACTACAAAATGTAAACCATATAAATCTAAAACATAAAACGATTACTCAATTCTCAGAGGCCTACTGTGTGTATATGTGTGTGTGTGTATATGTGTGTATATATATATATATATATATATATATATTTCTTATACACAACAAAATCTCATAGAAACCATCACTATTATTCTGAAACAGATAAAATGAGAAATAGTTCTCATTGGAGAAATAAATAACACAATAACATATATATTAACACAGCTGGGCTCAAGACATACCACTGAGGCAAGTAAGAACTGCAAAGCTTTGGTTTTGTGGTATCACATGTCACAAAAAGTCTAACCACTCCTACCCTACATTTATTTTGACAAAGTGTGCTTTGGGGCCTGAAATGTAACCTTTTTTATTTCAGGGAACAAAAAACATAAAATACAAAACCAGAATTTATAATTAGTGAGAATTCAATTTTCCAATTAAAATACTAAATATCTTTGATAGAAATAAAGCATGCTTTGAAAAGCTATATGATGTTGTGGCTCTTTATCCTGTCATTTCCACTTTAAAAAAAAAATAAGCTTCAGGAATTTAAAGTTTGACCATGCAAGTAACAAACAGGAAATGAGACAGCTACACAGAATTGTCCCAATTTTTAATAAAAGGAAATGTTTTAAATTAGTATAACCCAATAAATAATAGCCTAAGGCATTCATGGAGATCACAGTAAAGAAAAGCTGAGGTTCTAGAACCTGAAACCACAGTTTCAACCTCCAGTGTTACTAGAACATGTCACTCTATAAGAAGCAAAGAGTCACAGATTCAGTACTCTGGAAAGGTAAGATGGCACAGCCCAGGAGGGTTGGCATTCAGGCACTGCAACAGTTCTTCCTCTGTACTGACTCTCTGGAGCTGGTCCCAGCCAGGATAGTGATAAAATTGCTGTCAGCTTCTTCCTTCGGTCTTTTCTTCACTTCTCTAGGGGAATAGAGGTGGAGGAGAGGATTACCGAGGCACAAAACTAAATACTAGAAATAAACATCGTGATGCTAAGCAGCTACATGAGCCTTCCAGGCACCGTTCTAAATTCTGGGTGGGTGGAAAAATAGCTGTGGTCTTCACAACGAATCTATTGAGTCTGTTGTGCCCTAGAAGCCATGTGACCACAAATGGGTGAAGCCTCAATTGCATCCAAAGATCCAGCCAAGGTAGACAACTGCAAAGGAAGAGATGGCTGCTTCAGCAAGTTAATCCTGGAGAGCTCACTAAGGAGCCAGCTGTTAACAAACTCCTCGACACAGTGTGCTACATAGAAACACATGGGATCCACACTGCACTTCAAGCTGCTTAGTTGCTACATGAAAGATGCAAAAAGTCAAATCACTGTTATTAATAAATTTTATTTAACCTGGTATAGTAAAAGTATTACCATTTCTACACTAGCAAATTCACAACAGAGCCATAATTTGTATGTCTTACTGCCAGGCAGCTCTTTTTTAAAAATAACTTTATTGAGAAATAGCAATGAGACAGTTTCAAAACAGGTTAGTAGGACAGTTACAATAATTAATACATTGCATATTGTTGTCTTCGTAGTATTTATGGTACAAAATGCAGACACGATATCCTGTCCAAACACTATTAGTACAAATCTTTCTTCTCATTGAATTAAGAAAACGTAGCTGTATATCTATCCTATTTTATATATACAGATATCAAATGGTCCTTCATTTATATCCCTTTTTTTTGGTTTAATTTTGTCAGAGAAGGGTATTCCATTGCCATTTAAATATTAGAGGTGTGTGAATTCAGCAAAATAATCCAATATAGTCAAGTAGTCCATAATAGTAGTGGGTTATCTGTAGGACTGGCAGTGTCAGAAGTTGTTGACTTGAGCCTTTTATGGCTCAGCATATCAATATGCCAGGCAGCTCTGAGCCACCAGTGGTACCTGCATGAGTGTCCCATCAGATGGCATGGGACAAGCCCAGGAGTGGTAAAAGCCTGATGACACAGTCATGCATGTATCCCCATGGTTCAAACTGGCAGGCAAGAAGTGTTCATTAATGATGTCAATGAGCTGACTTATAATTTCTATATTGTCCAAAAACCCAGAATATATTTCATACTCATTTCAATTATCCAGTGGCTATTAAATTGGCCAGCATAGCTTCAGAATATTCTGGTCTTCTGAAAAAATCTGCACTATGAGTCAGAAGAAAAGGTATCTTAAGGGCCAGCAAGATATCACAGTGGACTAAACACCTGCTTAGGCAAGCCCAGGGACTACTGGGATTCGATCCCTGGCACCACATGCCTCATCAGCCCCGCCCCCAGGGGCTGAGCTGGCCACCAAGACTGGGCATGGT